GAAATTTCAAGGACATCAGCACTTGACAACCAGCTGAGGCTGGCAAAAGATCATTTTGGAGACCTCCGCTGGACTCATGCTGGTATGCATGTGATGGATGTATAGTCATGATCCCTAATGGATTCTGTTTGCTCTGAGGCTTCCCAGGACGTTTCTAAGCAAATCATCCAGGCAACAAGGTACCACCTGGGAAATCTCAATGCTCAATATTGTATCTTGGGGCAGGTGTAGCATCCAAAGCAGTCATGACTCTATCAGAAGCACTAGAGACACAGGCTGTGCCACTCTTGTGACAGAAAACCTGGGCAGAGCTGGAAATAATGGAGCCACTCCTCCATTTTCCTGAAAGGAAGGGAATGAAGAGGGGGAGAAAACAAAACAATATGGAAGGGAGGATAAAAACCCACAATGATGGGAACTGGTACATGAGAGAATAAATAATGGAATTCCAAAACCAAATAAGCTAAGTCTTCTAAATCAGATAATGAATATCAAAATAATGCCATATTACACCTTATACCTTCATCTACTAAAAGAAAGCAAAAATAAAATAAGGAATAAACCCGACAATGCAAAGATGAACAAGCAATCAGAAATAGAGATAATGTCTTGAGTAATTCTGATCCTATCTAGAAAGGAAATGAGTAATGTCTCTTGTTTGAGCACTCAAACAGGAAAAGAAAGTAAACCACCTCTTCCTGGTAGGTAGATTGGTAATTCAACCTGGTAATTCAAATTGTTGAGTTTCTTAAAAAGGAATGATCAAGAGAAAGGTTTCTCTTGAAGGAGCTTTAGAGAAACAGCCATTAGAAAAGCAACACAGCCCGACCTGGAGTGGCTCAGCAGTTGAGTGTTGACCTAGGATCCAGGCGGTCGGGGTTCGATTCCTGGTCAGGGCACATGCCCGGGTTGCGGGCTCCATCCCCAGTAGGGGGCATGCAGGAGACAGCCAATCAGTGACTCTCTCATCATTGATGTTTCTGTCTCTCTCTCCCTCTCCTTTCCCCTCTCTGAAATCAATAAAGATATATTTAAAAAAATAAAAATTCACTATTTAAAAAAAAAGAAAAGCAACACAAAATGTTAGACCTAGAAGGGACCTTAAGAGTTCAATTCTGTCATTTTACAGGTGAGGAAACAGGCTAAGAGAAGGGAAACAACTTGGCCAAACAAACAAAGCTAGTTAATGGCCAAGCCAGGAGTAGAGCCTAAGATCCTGAGTCCTAATCTTTTACTAATATTAGTATGCCAGTGCTATACTCTCTACTCATTCACTTCTGTTCTAATGAGTGCTTTGGCAAATACACTATAGTCACAATCTTATTTTTAAATATGTTTTTATTGACTTGAGAGAAAGGGAGAGGGAGAAAGAGATAGAAACACCAGTGATGAGAGAGTATCATCGATCGGCTGCCTCTTGCATACCCCCCTACTAGGGATCGAGCCCGCAACCCAGGCATGTACCCTGACCAGGAATCAAACCATGACCTCCAGGTTCATAGGTCAATGTTAAACCACTGAGCAACACTGGCCTGGCCAGTCACATTCTTAAAGATATCTGTATTTCACTTATTTCAAATACATGTATTTAGAAATGAACTAACTCAAGCTTTGATCTTTAAAGATTTTTTAAAAGGTGTTCTAAACATCATTCTTCAGTATGCTCCCTCTCTAAAATGCGCTGACAAGACATCTCAGATTTCTCCTCCAATCTACTGTTTTATCTTTTAAGAGGGTCTGAAAACAAGTTTAAAGAAAACTGCTAAATAAAAAATGCATTTTTAGAAGGCTGAAATACAGTGCATCCATACACAAAAGTTACAATTTTTTTAAATTGTGTTTTTACATTTTGTGCACAATATAACAGAATAATTAGTTAAAATAGAGAATTCTAAATAAGATTACAGGTTTAAACACATGCCCTTTAGAGTTACAAAACAACTGTCTACGTAGTACTAAAATATAATATAACTTAAAAGTCGATACGTAAAACAACTCAAATGACTACAACCAAAGAATGTTGGATATTTTTTGGGTGGTGAACACATATGCTCCTAGTAGAGTTTGAGGCTTTGTTTTAAAAAATGTTATCAGGAATAAAAATTTTCAAAATTGATAAAATTGCTATGGAATTTCTCACAGTAAAAATCTGTATTAGCATTTTTTAAAACTCTTTAGTTCAAAATTAGTATCTTGATATGAACATTTCTATTAAAAAATATGACTTCAGCCCTAGCCAGTTTGGCTCAGTGGCTAAAGCGTCAGCCTGCGGGCTGAAGGGTCCTGGGTTCAATTCTGGCCACGGGCATGTACCTCAGTTGCAGGCTCGATGCCCAGCCCAGGTCAGGGTGCGTGCAGGAGGCAACCACTCAATGTGTTTCTCACATCGATGTCTCTCTGTCTCTCTATCTCTCTCTCTCTCTTCCCCTCCCTCTCTTCCCCTCCCCTCTCTCTGAAAAGCAATGGAAAAAAATATCCTCAGGTGAGGATTAAATAAATAAATAAATATATATATGACTACAGTGCCCTGGCAGGGTGGTTCAGTTGGCTGGAGCATCATCCCATACACCAAAAAGATTGCAGGTTCAATTCTTGGTAAGGTCACATACCTAAGTTGTGGGTTCGATTCCCAGTCAGAGCATGTACGGGGAGGCAATCCATTGATGTTTCACTCACATCGATGTTTCTGTCTCTCTCTCTCTCCCTTCCTCTCTCCCTAAAAATTAAAAAATAAAGAANAACACGGTTCTAATCTCGTAGGTGGTAGTGAATGTGTTTATTAATTTTATTTTGATTAATCGTTCTATTAAGTAATTTTTCCAACTCATTTTTTTAATTTATCTTTATTGTTGAAAGTATTACAGATGTCCCCCTCCTTTTTCCCCCATTGATCCCCTCCACCCACATCTGCCGCACTCCCTGGCCTTCCCCATACTATTGTCTGTAACCATGGGTTATGCATTTATGCATATACGTTCTTTGGTTAATCTCCCCCCCACTACCCCACCCCCCCTTTCCCTCTGAGATTCATCAGCCTGTTCCATGCTTCTATGTCTCTGGATCTATTTTGTTCATCAGTTTATTTTATTCATTAGATTCCACATATGAGTGAGATCATGTGATACTTCACATTCTCTAACTGGCTTATTTCGCTTAGCATAATACTCTCCAGGTCCATCCATGCTGTCTCAAAGTGTAAGAGATCCGTCTTTTTTACAGCCACATTGTATTCCACGGTGTAAATGTCCCACAGCTTTTTTATCCACTCATCTACTGATGGGCACCTGGGCTATTTCCAGATCTTAGCTATTGTAAACAGCTATTGTAAAATGTACGTCCTTACCATTCCATTCTGGACCCCATCCCTATCCCATAAAATAATTGGATATATAATCAAAAAATAAGTAGGCAAGCAGCATCTGTCTTTGTATCATGATTAAACTGTATTCAAAGTGCAAAATAAAATTGCTCATTTACCCTAATAAAAATGTTCTATTAATTAGGAGAATGCTGATCTTTGAAACAGAAAAACATATCAGCATGAGGAAGATATAAAACAGAGCTAGAATAATAGCTATCCCCCAGTATTTACTAACTCAAAGTTAATTCCTTAGAAAATTACGACACACAAATTACATATGTATTTTCATGTTTTCTTAATATTAGAGCTTACTATTAGGAATAAACGGATGGTTAATATAGTGTTCTTTAATAAAAACCCATCAAGTCTATCATAGATTTTGGGGACTAGAATTAATCAGAGAAAACTTCATCCAACACTTTCATTTTAGAGATCAGAAAATTTTGGCAAAGAGTAGTTAAGTCACTTGCCCAAGGTTACAGAGACAGTCATTAGAGAAGTTAGAACTAGAAGTCAGATATTCTTATTTCCATTATTCCAAAATTCCATCCACTTCACCAAACTTGGTTGAAGATTATGTGTAGGGTATACTGTAGTGCAGGGAAAGGTTTAAAAGATATGTAAAAACATTATGGTTATATTATTTAATTTTTTTAAAATTCTCCATTGCTGGGATATGAGTGTGCCTTTGTATGTTTCTCTTCTCTCAGCCATCCCTTAATTATATCTATACAGGCTACACTGTTTACATTTACACCTACTGTTTAAGTCTTATTAAAGTTAATAGTACCATACTGTCTATTTCTATTTTATTTGAAAAATGGTTAAAATCTGTATCAGTCTCAACACTTTCTAAATTGATACTAATTTTGAAAGAGATTTCTTAAACTTAAATATCTGAGCAATCTCCTATTTTTTTCACTTTGAACAGGTTTTAATACCTAGAAGCACCATAATGGATGGCAATTAAAAACAATAATGAGCACTGGCCAGTGTGGCTCAGTGGTGCCCATACACTGAAGGGTCATAAGTTTGATTTCAGGTCAAGGGCTTGTACCTGAGTTGCAGGTTCAATCCTCAGCTCTGGTCAGGGACTGTGCAGGAGGCAACCAATCACTGTCTCTTTCACATTGCTCTCTCTCTCTCTCTCTCTCTCTCCCTCTCTCTCCCTCCTTCCCTCCCTCCCTTCCACTCTTTATAAAAATCAATGGAAAAAATATCCTCCGGTGAGGATTAATCAAAAAAAAAAAACACAACAACAACAAAAAACCCAATAATCAATATTGAGATGTCTGTTGTCACCAGTTTGAGATGATATACTTTCATTTATAATCTGTCAAAATTAAAATATCCTCAATAGCACATTTTACATAAAAACATAAAATTGACAGTGCCCTATGTATTTGCAACACACCCTATGCTAGGTGTGTTAATATTTATATTTACTTTCTCTGAAAGTTTCCAAGTTTTAGCCTATTTTCTGGCCTTTCTTTCAAACTTGCAGGAAGACTGTGAGCGAGTCTTTCTAAGGCAAACACTCCTGGTTTTTACAACCAGCTTGAGGTTCTGTTGCTGCTGTTTGTGCCCACGTCTAGGGCATGTTATAATCTTTTTAAAGTCCTTTCAGATGGAACCATACCTATTCTCAGGATCATTGTCGTCATCATCATCATCCACTGTGACAGGCACAGATTTAGATAAGGCTTCATCTCCTTGAAGGAAAAAAAAAAAAAATACTTAAAATTAGTTTTAAATTATCTATATACATAAAGCCATGTAAAATAAAACTGAAAGCCTAAAGCTTTAATAACTACTATTTGGTTATAAACTGTACTCTGGGATCCAAAACATGATTTAAAAGGATTTATAAGAAAAGCACATGGGTAATTTAAAAAGTGCCAGCAGAAAAATGATAAGTTGGATCTTATATATTTCAAAGTTCCTTTCCAGAGCACAAGGGTTTTAAAGCTCATCCTTCAGGGAACAAGTCTTTATCATTCACCATCACATTAGCATAAGTTTTTTGCTGAATAAGCTTCACAGTGATCCATTTTAAGTTGAAAGTTAACAGATGTGTAACTTTTCCTGTATCATTGAAGAATAGCAAAATTGCTATCAATATTTTGGTGGTACCAAGTAATTTCAAAATATACTTGAATTTGTATAATACGAGTAGAATTACAAAGGTATATTCAAGTACAGTAAAACTTATTTCCCTATAAAAAGCTACTTTTCTATCCTTGGATTAAAACTCTAAAGACATTAACATTTGGCATTTCATTATATGTAAACTGTGCCTCAAAAACAAACTTAAATATTGAACTATTAGTAAGATCATATATGCTGAAGTAATTAGGGAGAAGTGTGCTGATGTTTATTATTTATTTTGAAATGCATCCAAAATTTCAAGAGCATTACACTGAGTGAAAGAAAGCCAATATCAAAATGTTACAAACTTCATGATCCCATCTCAAAATAACAAACATAAAAATCAGATTAACAGTTGGTAGGAGTTAATAGTAGGGATAAGCAAGGAAGCTGTTCATAGGCGTGGCACAAAGGAAACTTGTGATAGCGGAACAGTTCAATATCTTGGTTGTAGTGATTTACAAAGCTACACATGATACAATTTCATAGAACTATATTTATACATACATACACACATACATATATACACAAATGAATAAATGCATGCAAAACTGGTGAATCTGAATAAATCTTCCATTTCCTGGTTTTGACATTGTACTACAGTTATGCAAGGTGTTACCAGTAGGAGAATGGTAGGGTATCCAAGATCCCCCCTGTACATTTTTTTGGGTGCAGTTCCTGTGAATTTATAATTATTTCAAAATCAACAGTTAAAAAGGCAAAAAAAAGTTAGTTACATTGTTGGATAGAAGAATATATAGATATTTCTAAAAACAGCACTCTTTACATATGCAAATACAGTACAATGTTAACGAAAGAAACTTTTCTACATATTGAAATTTTTTCCTAATAAAAATATTTGAAGAAACTGTTGGAGAGAAAAACAATCCATAAAGAATGCAAACAGCTACATGTTCAGGATAGAAATAGACTAAATATAGAAAGGCAAAAATAAATCTCACAATATCCTAGCAAACTCTTAATACCTCATTCAAACAGACCAATCTTCAAATGAAACATCACTAGTAATATTAGTCATTCTTCTTTGCTATACCTTTCAAAATTTGAGCTATCCTTCGAAACAGTGTTCAAATGCTACCTGTTCTTTTAAGTTTTCCTCCAATAGTTAGATTAAGTGGCTCACTTGCTAGTTATCACACAGCCCCATTTTACTTTTACATCTTTCTTCTGGTATTCTTTTTTATTTTTAATCCTCACCCGAGGATATTTTTTCTATTGCTTTTTCAGAGAGAGAGGAAGGGAGTGAGAGGGAAAGAGAGAAACATCGATGTAAGAGAGACACACTGAGTGGCTGCCTCCCGCTAGTGCCCCATATCCAAGGTATGTGTCCTTGGCCGAGAATCAAACCCAGGACTCTTTGGTCCGAGGGCCAATGCTCTAACCACTGAGCCAAACCGGCTAGGGCTTTTTTTTTTTTTTTAAACGATTTACCTATGTCTATGTTGCTCATTAGACTACAATCTCCTAGCACCAAGTTCTTAATCTTGGTTGCTTATGCCATTATCAAGGCCCAATTTTTTTTTTTATAATGAATCTTTACTTTGTAAAAAGAATCTGAATTTCTAAAAGGCAGTGCAAACATGTTGGGAGATAATACATGATATTAATATCCTAAGTATGAAATATATGGAATATCTATATACAGACTCTTGCCTTCAGAAATGAAAACAGTAATCAGTTACACTGATTTACAGCAAATTAAACTGTATAAACTACAGTTCAGTTTACAAAAAAATAATTCTACTCCCCTCTACAAGCCCCAATTTCTAAGAAACTATTGTACCATGTAACAGAATACCCAACTATTGCTGAATAAATTGGAATCCTCTAAATTCATGAGAGCAGATAAGGCTTTTTAAGAGCTCCTAAAAATTGTCACCTAAATTAATTTGGACATATTAGGGGAACAAATAAATTTAGCTTGAATGCAAGCAAATTCTTAAGGCATGCCACTTTTATCACTGGCTTATACCAAAACTTATCTTGCAAAACATTACTTTTTACATAGTGCTTATTTTAAATGCCCTTCATATTCTTTTCTGCTTAAGTATTTCTATTGACAAAGTTCAATTCCTAGCAAATTTATCTTCTTCTTTTCATCTAAAGCAGTCAGTCCCAAGAAATATCCAGGATAAACAAAATCTGAACAAGGACTATGCCACCAAATAGTTGAAAGATTGGCATCTGCTGAAGTTCTGAATTCTTAAGACTTCTCTGGATATATACATGAGAAAGGGTTCACCTCCTAATCAGGACACTGGCCCTTCAGAATAAAGTTATATAATTCAAAATGGAACACAATGATCTAGACTAATACTGGGTTAAGAAATTATTGGTAAATGCCCCCTCTGAGTATTTGCCATATGTTACCATGTCTTCTTAAGATCTGATGAACTCATATTACATATTACAGTAGGAATTAATAGTTTCAAACATGAGAGATATCACAGATATCCTCATATGTGTCATACCTAATTAGATTTGGGGAAATGAAAATTAGTACTTGCAATCAAACATGTTGATTGCACTAGGGAAGCTGTTTAATGATGAAAACCAGTTTTCCAAAGTTAAAGACTAGTTTAATAGCCTAGAATTTGCTAATGAGAATACTCCATGTAGCTAATTACAATTTAATATTCTTACACTCTAATCCTTAATAAGGGTTTTCTCAACTAACCTGATAACAAAAACATTGATTTGACATCAAAGTAACAGAGATTGTGTTTCTAATTTTGATTGAATTTATTAAGGTGACACTGGTTAATAAAATTATGTAGGTTTCAGGGGTACCATTCTATAATACATCATCTGTATATTGTATTGTATGTTCACCAGCCAAAGTCAAATCTCCTTCCATGACCATTTATCTCTGTACCCTCTTCTACTTGCTCCCTCCCCTTTCCCTCTGGTAATTGCCATAGTGTTGTCTATGAGTTTTTTGGTTGGTTTTTGTTTGTTTGTTTGTTTGTTTTTTGCTTAATCCCTTCACCTTTTTTCACCCAGCCCCCAATACCCTCTCCTCTAACAGCTGTCTGTTTTCTGTATCTATGAATCTGTTTCTATTTTGTTATAGTTTATTTTGTTCATTAGATTCCACATATACGTGAAATCATATGGTACTTGTCTTCTCTGACTTACTTCACTTAGCATAATATTCTCTAGGTCCATCCATGCTGTTGCAAAGGGTAAGATTTCCTTCTTTTTTACAGCTGAGTAGCATTCCATTGCGTAAATGTGGGGCACTTGGGCTGCTTCCAAATCTTGGCTATTGTAAATAACGCTTTGTTATGAGATTGTGTTTGAATGCAAGTTCACAATCTTTTATACACAATCCTGAAACCCAAAAAGCTCTCAAAACTCAAACATTATATAAGGTGGTGCCAAAGTTCATTTGGCAGCAAAACCTAATTTCAACTGTTTATTCTTCTAAGTATTAATGTTCTTATGTTTTGCTGCAGAAATACTAATCTATTTGATAATGTGTTGCCTCAGGCCCTAATGGAATTATACAGGGTGTTCCCAAAAAAATTCATACACACTTTAACAGCTGATAGCTCAGTTTTGAAAATGAAATGTATTTTAATAAACAATGCCTTTGTAATTATTCAACATGTGTGTATACATTTTTTGAGACACCGTATATATGGTAACTACTCTATATTATCTTTATGAAACACAAACAGTTGAAAATTCTGAAACACATTAGGCCAAAGAATTTCAAGAAGTGTGGACTTGTAGTTATAATAGCCATACAGGCAGAGCTCCATCTAAGCATGTAATATAGCAGAGCATTAAACTGAGTATACCATGCATATCACACTAGGTTTTCAAATCAATTCCTTAGACAAGCACTCCGTAAAAGGAATTTAAAGTTTTATTATAAAACAAGATTCAGGTCAATTCCACTAAATTCCAAATGGGTAAATGGAAAATCCTAGCATAAAAAATGAAAGGAAAACTTTAAACATTCAGTCTCTGTGGAAACCGCTTCAAGTAAAATCTACTTTGTAAAAATTTTAAGACTACAGGAGGGGATGGGGTGGGTAGAGGTAGAAGAGAGCATGGGGGGATAAATGGTGATAAGATACAAAGAAAATAGAGAAAAAATAAAATAAAGTTAAAAAAAAATTTTTAGGAGAAATCTCAAGTGCCCCTGGTTAATTGACAGTTTTTACTGACTTGAAAAGACAATGAGTAACAAGATTACATTTATTATACAAATTATTTTTTAAAAGACTACAATAATTATTTTTATAAGTATCTGGGGATGGGGGAAGTGAAGTATCACTGACCAGTTGACCCAAACCCTTATAGTCCTAGTACACTAACTCATCAGGGTAGGGT